TCTGGTTATTCACAGATGTCTTATGGGAAAATGAATTATAAAGTCACAAGAATAATAGCATTCAAAGGGTCTTTCCTCTTACTGCAATATTGATTTTCAGAACACAAACAAAGGCTCAGAAAAGCCTAATCTTGGTACGATACCTATTTTAAATGCCAATTGTTGAGTAAATAGACCTCTGTGGGGATATGTTTGTCTGAAAAGTCCTTTGGGATTAGAGAATATTAGCCCAGTATTCAGTCAGAGACCTACTTTGTGAGGCTTCTTTGTTACTCTGTCAGCTATCTAAAGCCCTTTATGATAGGTCTCAGCTTTGGTGATATTTATTCAAGTAAATCTAAGTATAAGAGTTAAGATGCAGCTGTTCTTATATTGTGACCATCTTTGGGTCTCAATGTGTTTCAGCTCAATACTGAAGTGCAGAACATCTGAGAAGACTAATAAAGTATTCACCACTCAGGCTTTCAATATGTTTCTTAGCCATTTTCCACGGTCAATACTTTTTCTTTTCTAATTAATTCTGGCTGTGTATAATTTTGCACAGGCACATGAACTAGAGAGTTGTTTACTTAGTGCTGGTTTGCACATACGGCACAATTTTTTTTAATGTGGCTAAGCTGGGCTCTCTAGTTTGCAATGCCAAATCCCAACCTTCCTCTGAAATGTAGAGTGTTTATATTTTGGGATCGCCAAGCCAAAGAAAATAAGTTGTTTTCCACCAAACAGAAAAATCTCTCTACTTCTCTGGCTTTTGGATTGATCTTTGAGTATCTTGATACCTGATCAGTAGTATACAGGATAGCCTCAGGTCTGATTCGACTCTCCACTGCTCTGATGTGCAATGGAAAGAAGAATCAAGCCTCTATAAATGTTGCCTGTGCTGAGCCAAAAAAAACCTTGAAGTCAATGGGATTTTTTTCCACGCTGGCTTTGATGGACGATGGATCACATCCCTAAACACAAGAGTAATCTATTTTTGGATGCCATTGAAAAGTGCCAGTGGTATGTAATGTAGTACAGGTTGGACTTCCCTGATCCAGCACCTTTGGGACCTGAGCGGTCCCGAACCAGGGAGTTTGCCAGACCGAGGGAGGTCAGTGCTCCCCTGCTGGCTGCAGGCACCACTCTTCAGCTTCCCTCCAGGCTGTGGGGCTCCCTGGAACATGGGATGCCTGCCCTGATGTTGGGCCCAGGCCACTGAGGTTTCCCAAGATCAGGCTCCCTGGGCTGGGGCTCTCCAGCTGCCACCAGTCTCACTCTCCCCAAGGGTTCTGACTGGGGCTGGGGATTCCCCCCCTGCCACAAGGCCCACTCTCATTGAGTGGGGTTCCCCGGGGCTAGGCTCCCCAGCTACTGCCAGCCCAGCAGGGCTCCCCAGAAACTGTTGGACTCCCACTTGGCTCAGGCTCCAAGCCTCTGGATCCCTGTAGTCCTGCCAGACCACAGATCTTGCCAGACTAGAGATTCGCAAACGTGGGAGGTTCAAGCTATAAAAGGAAGATATCAAATACAAACTGTCAATAGCCCAGATTGGAGGACAATGAATTGTTCACAATCACCTGTTGTTATTGGACTATCATGAAGTCTGATAGAGTTGCCAGGCCCCTGGACAATGTGGGGAGAGGTTCCCATGAAGGAGCAGGGCCTTGGGCAGAAGGGGCAGGGCTGGGAACTAGCCTCCCTGAGGCAGCCCTCAGAACCACCCTGTGCTACATGGAGCTCCGGCGGTGATTTAAAGGGCCCTCGGTTCTGGACACCACCATTGGGACAGCAGCAGCAGCAGCAGCAGCAGCAACAATGGCCAGGAGAATCAGGCCTTTAGAATTTCTGGATCCTGGGGCAGTTGCCCCTTCTACCCCCACCCTCGTCGTCAGGCCTGTGTACTATAATTACATTTGATAAATGAAATGGCAAAAATGCAAGGTAATTTCCAAAGGGAAACTATTTTTGTACACTTTACTCATGTACTTTTCATAGTGCTGTGACTGAAAAGCAGAGCAATGCACCAGCCGCAGGCTGCAAAAAAACATCCGGAGTGGCAAGGCAATCTGGGATTCCAATACTAGCCAAATTTGTCCACACATACTTTTCATCTCCTTGCACCCTCTTTCCTACAATCTCAAAGTAAAGAAGAGTCACAAAATCCCAGGAGCCTTTCAATTTTCTATAGAGTCCCTCAAATGCAGTGATTGATGAGAGGCCATGGAGGGTGTCAAAGTAAATATTACAGTCATAGTGAAGGGGCATGCCTCATGGACATAGATACCTGAAGGACAACTTTCCTTCTTAGAATTAAGCTATGTAACCATATTATTTAATCGCTGGACTCAATAGTTAGATCTACCAAACTCAGATTCTAACAATTGATCTGGCTCCAATTCATTAAACTAGTTCATTAAACTAGTTTACATGGGCTCCGTCGGCGGAGCCATGTAGTCTAGACATACCCCTAGTGCTCCCTGCTGTGCACAAGTAGGCTGTGAGGCTACGTCTACAGTACAAGTTTTTGCAGCAAAAGATATGCTAATGAGGGACTCATTAGCATAAGCCGCAATCTCATTTGTATATTTTCTGCCGATCCATTTTTTCAGTAGGGGTTTTTGCGCAAAAACAAGCAGTGTACAATAGTAAAGAATAAAATTGTGAAGCATGTAGAAGAACATAATTTGTTGGACAAAAGTCAACATGGTTTCTGTAAAGGGAAATCATGTCTTACTAATCTATTAAAGTTCTTTGAAGGGGTTAACAAGCATGCAGACAAGGGGGATCCAATAGATATAGTATACTTAGATTTTCAGAAAGCCTTTGACAAGGTCCCTCACCAAAGGCTCTTGTGTAAATTACATGGCCATGGGATAAGAGGGAAGGTCCTTTCTTGGATTGAGAACTGGTTAAAAGATAGGAAACAAAGGGTACGAATAAATGGTAAATTTTCAGAAAGGAGAGGGGTAACTAGTGGTGTCCCCCAAAGGTCAGTCCTGGGACCGATCCTTTTCAACTTATTCATAAATGATCTGGAGAAACGGGTAAGCAGTGAGGTGGTAAAGTTTGCAGATGATACCAAACTGTCAGGATAGTCAAGACAGAAGCAGACTGTGAGGGACTCCAAGAAGATCTCACCAAACTGAGTGATTGGGCAACAAAATGGCAAATGAAATTTAATGTGGATAAGTGTAAAGTAATGCACATCGGGAAAAATAACCTCAACTATACATACAGTATGATGGGGGCTAATTTGTCTACAACAAATCAGGAAAGAGATCTTGGAGTTATCGTGGACAGTTCTCTGAAAATTTCCACACAGTGTGCAGCAGCGGTCAAAAAGGCTAATAGGATGCTAGGAATTATTAAGAAAGGGATAGAAAATAAGACCCAGAATATCTTACTGCCCCTGTATAAAACTATGGTACGCCCACATCTTGAATACTGTGTCCAGATGTGGTCTCCTCACCTTAAAAAAGATATTTTGGCCTTGGAAAGAGTTCAGAAACGGGCAACTAAAATGAGTAGGGGTTTGGAACGGGTCCCATATGAGGAGAGGTTAAAGAGACTGGGACTTTTCAGTTTAGAAAAGAGGAGACTGAGGGGGGATATGATAGAGGTATATAAAATCATCAGTGGTGTGGAGAGGGCAGATAAAGAAAAGTTATTTATTAGTTCCCTAAATAGAAGAACTAGAGGTCACCAAATGAAATTAATGGGTAGCAGGTTTAAAACTAATAAAAGAAAGCTCTTCTTCACACAGCACGTAGTCACCCTGTGGAACTCCTTGCCAGAGGAGGCTATGAAGGCGAGGGCTATAATAGAGTTTAAAGAGAAGCTAGATAATTTCATGGAGGTTAGGTCAATAAAAGGCTATTAGCCAGGGGATAAAATGGTGTCCTTGGCCTCTGTTTGTCAGAGGCTGGAGAGGGATGGCAGGAGATAAGTCACTTGATCATTGTCTTTGGTCCATCCCCTCTGGGGCACCTGGTGCTGGCCACTGTCGACAGACAGGCTACTAGGCTAGATGGACCTTTGGTCTGACCAAGTACAGCCGTTCTTATGTTCTTATGTTCAGTGTAGATGTTTCCTTTTTGCGCAAAAAAGCCCTTTTTGCGCAAGAGCCTTATGCCTCGAAAAAGGAGTGCGTTTTTATACATCCCATAGTAAAACCAGGCAAATGTTTAGATGAGCTGATGTACTCCCTGGAAGACCTCTGTGTACCCTCAGGGGTACATGTATCGATACCTGAGAATCACTGACTTGGAGCACTGCAGCTACACATTGTAACCCGAAGTGATTTGCCCAACTTCATACAGGAATTCTGTGGCAGAAGTAGCAAGTCAAGCCTTAGGCCAATGCCTTAATCACCATTCCTTTCTACAGAACATGCAAATATTTTCAACTGCAGAACAGTTACATACAAACCATCTGCTGACAAAGCATTATTCTTGAAGCATGCTGTTATTACTGACACAGGCATGATAGAAAGCTAATCAGCAGCTCAATACCCCCATGCAGTCAGATTTCATAACAATTCCGAACAATCAGTCAAAGCACATTTAACTGAGGACAGTTCCCCCTTAAAGTAAATGTAATCAAGAAAAATGAGGCTTTGATTCTCCTACCCCAACTCCAGGGCATTGCCTAAAATCAATCAATCAAAACTTACTTGAAGTACAGCAGTGATGTTTAATGGGTAGAGCAGCAATCTGGCAGTAGTCAGATCTCTGGGGTCCTATGTTTGGCTCTATTTCTAATTTCTTTGTTTTACCTTGGTTAAGTCATATAACCTCTCTGTGTTCTACCTGTTAAATATTGATAATAATACTTATTCTATGCTTACCTCAAAGGGTTATAATGAAAATAAATTAGTTTGGAAAACAGTCTTAATTCCCTATATAGAAGATACTGAATACCCCCAAATGTTACCATTATTATCAGATCTCCTGGCTAGAATTTGAAAAGTGTGTTGTTTTAACAGCAAACACCAGCTGCAATGTTGTTTGTTTCAACAGATGTCCTAATGCTTTTTAATCATTGAAACTGACCATGAGAATCATACACCCACAATTCCAAAGGTAAGTTCTTCTGCAAACACAGGACTTGTTATGGTAAAGTTTTTGTTTTTTTTTAATAGAACACTGATGGATTGATTATAGGAATGGACAGAAGGTCATTGTTAGTAAGACTGAAGAGGACAACCTGAACAGAATCCAGAAATTAACTTGGGTAAATAAAATGGTACATTTCTATAAAAAGCTTTCTGAATAAGAAACTATCTTACAAATAAATCCTTTCTGGAAGTGGAGGCTTACACGATTCTTTCCTGGGGGACACCATGGTAAACGGAGTTACACAATGACTGTTTAGTGTTTTTCCATCAAGTATTTTAACAGACCAAATGTACTTACATTCCAGCCTGGGCCAGAATAGGAACACTTTCTATGTGCAATATTTATCTGGATAGGAAAGAAACATACCACCCACTTTTTGCAGGCCATTTAGAACTTGATCTCTTTTATCACCTATTATCTATTTTCCACTGAAGTCAATGGAAAGGCTATAGTCAGGCTTTGTATGCTAATTTAGCAAAACATTTATGTACATGCTTAACTTTAAGCACATGCTTAAAGTCAGTGGGAGGCAGGCATGTGTTTTAGTGCTTTTCTTATGGCAGGCCTTAAGAGCAGAACAAATAGCAAGGAGGAAAACTTTGTGTAGATTCATTCAGACTGAAAAATAAATTTGGATTTGAGCATGATCACTTCTTGTGAATGCTCAGTAGTTGAGCCACACAAGCATGAATTCTTCCTGAAAGCAAATGTGTGGCTAGCCAGTGAAAGCAAATGTGCAATGTTGAAAATTCATATTGTGTCCATGATTCAAGTAATTTGCTGTCAGGAATTGGGTTGTTGCTTTCTCTTTGTACAGAGTCCTTCACACTATTGGCATTGCCAGAATTAAAAGGTAATAATTAATCAATAAGAACACAGTGCAAAACTGAGTATCAAATATGTGCACTGAACAGTTTACAAGCTATTCATATAGCAAAGTAAAATAATTATTGAATAATCTGAAATCATTGATAAATACAAGACTGTTGCTCGTTGTGCACACATATATTGTGAACAGAAAGGGAGAAGAAATTTAAGGAATTATTTGTTCAACTCTACTCATTTGAGTCTTGAAATGAGGAGCAGGAAGCTTCCAAGCCCTGTGGGGCAGCTGAGCAGAAGGCATAAAAATGGGAGAAGAGGGGAAAAGAAAAGATGGAGAGATTGTTGTAGTTGGGAGAGTGAAGATAGTGAAATGGGAGACACTGAAAAATAGTGTATGTGATTTGGTCAGAAGACAAGTAGGCATGGCCTTAAAGGCACCTGTGATGGAGTGGAAGTGGAACACTTTATCATCACAAGGATGAGATGTTTAGATTTATCAGGTAAAGAGAAGCTATTGAAAGGATCCAAAGAGGAAAACAACATGGTTTAGTAGGTAGGTAATGAGCTTCATGGAACAATAATAATGTTATTAACAAACTCTGACCTACCTGCAAATGAAATCTAGCAAGGTCAGAAGCAATTCAGTGGTGATCATTAGGAATGGACAGTCTTTTGATATTCAGATCTCCCAAACCAAATAGCCCTATTCTGACCTAACTTTCTATGGGAGGGGTGTGTGTGTGTGTGTGTGTGCGCGCGTGCACATGCGCGCATGTGTGTGTTTTAATTATACACTTATAATTGTGTGGGGAAAGCCCATTGGAGACAGCAAAGTGTCTATATTCCATGCTCTCAACCACATACACTACAGACACCAAGGCTGTGTCTACACTGGCATCCCATTCAAGTAGGAATAAGAGATCCTCCAGAAAAGGGCTTATTTTCCGGAGAATCACATCTAGACTTGCACTTTCCTCCGGCTTATCTCCAAGCCGGAAAAAAGCGGCAGCCATGTTAATGCAAATCCCGCGGGGGATATTTAAATCCCCCGCGGATTTGCCTATTCCAAAGTGCTACATTAGCATCCCTTTTCCGGAAAGGGATGCCAGTGTTGACACAGCCCAAATGTCACTGTGGAAGATGTAGGCCTCGATTCACGAAAGCATCCCTGTTTGGAAAGGATGCTTAAACCTACATTGTCAGCATAGACATAGTCCCATCTCTTAAATGCTTTTCTGAATGGGGATGGATTGAAGCATGTGCTAAAGTGCTTTTCAGAGTCAAAGCACAGGGCCCTGGAGTTTCTATCCTTCTGCTCTGTATACAGGTGTTTCTATGGGGTTCCATAAAAAAGGGATGTCTACATAAATAGTTAATAAAAATACTGCTGTCTGATGGAAAAATACTAGTATTTAGCATTACTTGTAAGTTGCTAGGTTTGATATAAAGTAGTTATGTGCTTCAACTGGCTTTCGGAGTCCAGCTCTTACAAGATGTGACTTGACCAAATTTGTCATGAGAGCTTAACTCCTAGGAAAAAAAATAAAATGACTTTTCTTCTGCTAAACTGCTTTGCATCTAAAGTTACCATGCCCACATTCCAGAACAAGCAAACGGAACCCTATTTGACTGTTCACATTTCACCAGGTCCAGCCACAGCTGAGATAGCTGGGATATATCTGTCAGGTCATAGCACACAGCAGCACTGAAAGATGCCTGGTGCTGCTCAGTGCATGTAACAAAAAGTCTGGTGCCGTGAAGAGTAGCTCAAAGGGATTGTTTTCTCCTGATTTATTTCAACATCCCCTATGTTCTTCTAGCATGGCTCATGTAACACTAAATGTGGAAGATTTACTCTCACAAATAACATAATGTGAGCATTTTCTGGTACTAAATTAGTTCTTTTTTCAGTTGATTGAATCAGCACCACCAAAAATACATTCAGAGTAAACTCCAGTGGGTGGGCAAGAAATTATCATCAGCAGGCTATTTGTGCCAGCCCAGACCAAACTTGTTTCTTTTCACACTGGTACATTAATAGGCTGTCTGTGGTTCCTAAATTTGGTGCCATACAACTGTAACCACAGTTCTTCAGCCAAGGAAGGCCTGACAGTACTATCAGATGGAAAACATAATCTAGACATATACTATATCCATGGAGCCACTGGCACATGACAGCTAATCAGCACAGAGTAAAGCGGAATAATTGCTTCTTGTGTCTTGCTTGCAACACTCATGTTAATACGTCCCAGAATTATGAATAGTACTGTAGCACCTTACAGACTAACTAAAAAATATAGATAGTATCATAAGCTTTCATGGGCACAATCCACTTCTTCAGATGACAAATATGGAGCAAGGAGTCCAGAGGTACAAATATACAGCAGAAAAAGAGGGATGAGAAGGAAGGAAAATACCTGTCAATTAAAGTGTCTATGCTAAATGAGGCAAATAGAGTGGTCTGTACGTGCCCAATACTTCGCTTTTGATGTCATTTGGGTGTTGAATATAATGGCCAAGATATGTCTTTGTTCATTCCTTGGGTCAATGTGTCAAAGTTGCATATGAAGGCTAGTTCCGCAGACTCTCTCTCTCTAGCTGGTTCTTGAAATTACTTTGTAAGAGGATAACCGCCTTTAGATCCATTAGTGAGTGTCCAGACAAGTTAAAATGTTCCCCAACAGGTTTCTGTGTGTTATTTCAAATATCCGATTTGTGTCCACTAATCCTTTGTCATAGAGACTGTCCAGTTTGGCCAATATACATGGCAGAGGGGCATTGCTGGTATTTGATATCATATATCACATTAGTGGATGTGCAGCTGTATGAGCCTCTGATTTGGCTTATATGGTTAGGTCCTGTGATGATGTCACTTGTGTAGATGTGTGGACAGAGTTGGCACCTTCATAGACAGTCACTTCCAATTTTGTATGTGTGCAATGGATTGTTCCTTCCTACGTGGAGCACTCTACATTTGTCCGTATTGAATTTTATCTTATTTACCTTAGACCATTTCTTTAGTTTGTCCAGATCTTTTTGAATTTTGACTTTCTCCTCCAAAGCACTTGAAACCCCTCCCAATTTGGTATCATTCACAAACTTTATAACTGTACTCTCTGTGCCATTATCTAAATCATCAATGAAAATATTGAACAGAACTTGTGCCAAAACTGATCCCTGCAGAACTCCACTCGTTATGCCCTTCCAGAATGACTGTGAACCCTTGATAACTACTCTCTGTGAATGACCATCCAACCAGTTATGTACCCAGAAATGTACTACCTCTCCCTGTAGATCAGCACTTGAGAAAGAAAATAATCCTATGTGGTTCAGGACATGCATTGTTGCTGCTTTGCACCAGGGATTTGGGAGTACTCATCATAAGACTACCATATTCCACAGACATACTCCTGTGGACCACTCCCTATGGGAAATAAGCAGGAAGAATTAAAAGTCCTGGCACAGTCAAAGAACTATGATTTGATTGGAACAACAGAGACGTGCTAGAATGACTCACGTGATTGGAGCACTGTCATGGGAGGGTATAAATTGTTCAGGAAGGACAGGCGGAGGAGAAAAGGTGGAGTTGCACTGTATGAAAGAGAGGAGTATGATTGCTCAGAGCTCCAGTATAAAGCAGAAAAGCCTGTTAAGAGTCTTTGGGTTATGTTTAGAGGTGGGAACAACAGGGGTGATGTCGTGATCTGTGTCTACTATAGACCACCTGATCAGGTGAATGAGGCTTTCTTCAGAAAACTAACAAGCTTCCACATCACAGGCCCTGGTTCTCATGGAGGACTTTAATCACCCTGACATCTGTTAGGAAACCAATATAGCAGTACACAGACAATCCAGGAAGTTTTTGGAGACTATAAGGGACAACTTCCTGGGTACAGGTGCTGAAAGAACCAACTAGGGGCCATGAGCAGCTTGACCGGAGGCTCACAAAAAACTTAGGTATTAGTAGGGGAAGTAGATGTGGGTAGCAACCTGGTAAGCAGTGATCATGAGATGGTAGATTTCAGGATCCTGACAAAAGGAAGAAAGGAGAGCAGCAAATACAGACCCTGGACTTCAGAAAAACAGACTTTGACTCGTTTAGGGTATGTCTACACTACAAAGTTAATTCGAACTAACAG